AAAAAAAAAAATCGTCTGCCTGTATTTCGTCGCACAGCTGTAAACACATACAGTAGTCAAGAGTGGTAGGGCCGAGAATAACCACTACAGTCCTCTACGCAGCAAGTGAGCAAGTACTTTTATAAAAAACGCTGCGAAAGGGTAGTGATTTTTCTCCTCAAAAAAAAGAGTCGAAGGTCGGTTAACTAGTATGAGTCATTATTCATTAATAAATCATTCCCGAGCACCATCAACGATCTGTTTTAGCTTACTGCTTGTTGGCGCAGTTGTATTCACTGTCCGTGGAAGCGATGACACTACGACCCCGGTAGCTGAAGTGGTTGTTGAAGAATCCGCAGCTGGCCAACAGCAGCAGCAGTCGCCTATAGCTGAAGCAATAGTTCAGGAAAAGACACATCACCGGCGTCCATCTGTGGAAGAAGTGGAGCTTGCTGCGAAGGCTGCAAGTGAAATACATTCCCCTAAGGAAGCTGTGGAACTTGCGACAACTGAAAGCGAACAGCATGAAGCGGAGAAAAATGGGCATGGAAGTGTGAGTGCCCGTATTCCGTTTAAAAAAATTTATAGCATTTTACATTAGGAAGCGCAAAACTGCGAAATTCATTAAAAAGAGATAGGATTTTCAGAATCCGAAAGCATCCCGAGTGATAGTAATTTGACAACATTACAAATTCTAACTACTGTTGCTCCGTTTTAGCATTACTTAGAACAGCAGTCATCTGCAGGCATAGCTATGTGAGTGGGACTTTCATTTAAAGGATACTAAATTCATGGTCAACTGTTTTATGGCCAGCATTCTAACTGTTCAGCTGTTTAAGTTCTTACTTAAATCCCCATGAAAATAGCGAGGAACACAAGGTTTTCAACGGATAATCATTGGCAACGTGCACTGGGGGGCCCAATGCGATCATGCGTTTTTGCAGCGTTTCGTGCTGTAATAAGATTATTCAAAATTCCGCTAGCTAGAAACCTCTTGTACATATTGATCCTCGAATTTCGGGAAATTAATTATCCACGTTATGTTGGACAGGGAACAGTCTCTTGAAATTTCTGGTTCCCAGCTTTCTCAGTTCCCGAGTTACCCAAATTGCAGCCAAAAAATTTCACTGGGCCGTGCGTAGCCATCACGCATAACAGGGGGCTGAACTTGACAAATTCAAGTTTAGATGAGTTGAGAATATTTCCTGAAAGTTTCAGCCTCCCAGCTTCCCTGGTTCTGAAGTTATTCATTTTCCTGTCAAAAACTTTCACGGGGTCGTACGTGGCAGCCACGCGTGGCGAGGGGCTGAATTTGAAAAACTGAAGTTGTAGATGAGTTGGGAACATTTCCTGAAAATTTCAACTCCCCAGCTTCCCTGGTTCTGGAGTTATTCATTTTCCCGCCAAAAATTTTCACAGGGCCATACACGGCAACCACGCATGGCGGGGGACTGAATTTGATAAACTGAAGTTGTAGATGAGTTGGAAACATTTCCTGAAACTTTCAGCCTCCCAGCTTTCTTGGTTCCCGA